GGAGGAAAAGATTAGTTGCAGACGGCAGGCACGCACAGTTTTGCGCAAACGCTCAAATTAATAGCAAATGTTACGTATTATGAAGTTTAAGAATCAATTAATCTCCCTTTGTCTTCTCTTAATTCTCGTCTCTAATTCTTCTCCTAATTCTAATTCTCCTAATTCATATCTCTCGATTTCTTCTTAATTCTCGAACTATGTTTCTTTGCTCAAATTACCACGTAACATTGTACAGCTTTTTCTTTATTTTTTAGACTTTGATTTAGGGCCATTCTTTAATTACTTCCGATTTTAATAATTGTCTATCAGTACTTATGGTTTTGAAATATACCACGTGGATTTGCATGAATAATAGTTAACCAAACATTATATCCAGTGGAGAAACCAGTGTAGGATGTGGGGGCCATGGCCCCCTTAAATTTTAATTTTATTTACTGCTATATATGTATATATAATTTATTGTTTTGCATTGTGTTCCTATGATTTTTAAAACTTTAGTTTTATTTTAAAAATAAAATTAGTTGTTTTTAATTGAAGAGAACAAGGAAAAATAATAAATAAGTGTAAAAAGTTGTATAAGGAAGTTACAAACTGTGACTCGAAACCGGAGGCGACTCCACTCTATTTAGAAAAATATTCCACCATATTATACTTTTATATTTATTTAGTCCACTCAAAATTCAAATTAATTCAAAAAAAGTCCTAAAAGTCTTTCTTTTCTTATTTTTCTTTTTCTAACTTTTGGTTTTGTCAAAAACAAAAAACAAAATTCTAAAAAAAATTCACGGACTCTGGCCCCGAATACCCCAAAATTTAAGCCCCCATATAACACACTCGCCGCTCTTAATACAATCATTATTTTCATTAATATTTTTACGTTATTTTTTAAAGTATATTCGGTCCCCAGTGATAAAATTCTGGCTTCTCCACTGATTATACCATATATATATATATATATATATATATATATATATATATATATATATATATAAAACGAAGTCTTGAAGTGTCGGGATTATATTAAATTGAGTTTAATTGATTTT